AAATAATGGCTTTCCATTTGGTTGATCTCAGGAATTATTCCTATGTTAAATACAAAAACTGGGATCTTTGTCATTTAAAAGGAGTATCTTAATATTCTTCCTCTGTGCCAATTAATCTAAGGGGTTTGAAGATTTAACATCCCTTCTACATAAATTAATACATAAACAAGCACATTTTTCTTTGTTAAGTTTTTATATATGGTCCCAACTGGCTTGGCTTGAAAAATAAATCAATATCATTGGGGAATTTTTATTTTCTTTAATTTTGAATCAGGTTTATGGTTGCTGTGTTTGGGGTCAGTGTTTTTTCTGATTTTACAACAAGCATATCACTTTCATAATAAGACTTTTATAAAATAATTTTTTTAAACATATTTTATTGATTTTATTTTTACAGAGAGGAAGGGAGAGGAATAGAGAGAAACATCGATGAGAGAGAAACATTGATCAGCTGCCTCCTGCACAGCTCCTACTAGAGATGTGCCCGCAACCAAGGTACATGCCCTTGACCGGAATCGAACCCGGGACCTCTCAGTCCGCAGGCCGACGCTCTATCCACTGAGCTAAACCGGTCAGGGCTAAAATAATTTTTAAATAAACTAAATGTTTATAGAAAAAAATAAACCTAAGATATTCAATTCCAGAATCAATTCTGAATGTTGTCAATGATTTTTACTAGTACTAATCAGAGTTTATCTACTTGGCATATTCTACTTAACATTATGTAAATAAAAGAATCTTGTTTATTTATTTGAACATGTAAAGGAAAACTATGTTCCATCATGGAGCCAGAATTGCTTAATCATTTTCCTACTCTACTGTCGTAAAACATCTGGGCTCTTTTCTTTCTTTAGTTTTCTCATTATTACACATAGTGCTATGAAAATCTTTGTACAACTTTATTATTTTTTCCTCCTTTGGGGTATGTATGCCAAAAGATAAATACTAGGTAGAAGGGTACTAACTAAAGAGTTTTATAGTTTCTACTAATTACTACAAGAATGCTATCTAGACCAGTGATGGCGAACCTATGACACGCGTGTCAGAGGTGACACGCGAACTCATTTTTTTGGTTGATTTTTCTGTGTTAAATGGCATTTAAATATATAAAATAAATATCAAAAATATAAGTCTTTGTTTTACTATGGTTGCAAATATCAAAAAATTTCTATATGTGACATGGCACCAGAGTTAAGTTAGGGTTTTTCAAAATGCTGACACGCCGAGCTCAAAAGGTTCGCCATCACTGATCTAGACAATAGTGTGTGTACCTTGCATTTAACGGATAACAATGAAACCTACAATGTATAATTTTGTAATCGTCTCATCAACAATAAATATTTTTCAAAGTTATTATAAATGGTGGGAAAAAGGATGGAAGAAACCCTGGCACAGATGGTTAGAGTGTCCTGGGTCCTGTGCCGGGAAGGGTCACAGGTTTGATTCCCAATCAGGTCACATACCCACCCAAGTTGTAGATCCGATATCCGGTCTAGGCGTTTACCGGAGGTCAAAATAGATGTTTTTTCATCTCTCTCGTCTCTCTCTCTCCCTCATCCTTCCCTTCCCTCTAGCATCAATGAAAAACATATCCTCTGGTGAGAATATTTTTAAAATCCTATTTTTATTTTTATTTTCTAGGCTGAAATTATAACTTTTGAAATATGTTTTTATTGATTTCAGAGAGGAAGAGAAGGATAGAAACATCAATGATGAGAGAGAATCATTGATTGGCTGCCTCCCTCATGCCCCCTACTGGGGACCGAGCCCACAACCCGGCCATGTGCCCTTGACCGGAATCGAACCCGGGGCCCTTCAGTCCGCAGGCCGAGGCTTTATCCACTGAGCCAAACTGGCTGGGGCGAGGCTGAAATTATTCATGACTGAAGCAAGTTTCCTGACTTCTCTTTAAACATTATAGATCGGCAGCATTCATCTATTAGTTCTTGCTCCTGAAATCCCATTAAAATGAAAGTGAAGAAATAAAACCAGGATAAAGAGGAGACCGCAGCGTGGTTCAGTGTCCACTCTGAACCAGGAGGTCACGCTCCATTCCGGGTCAGGGCACCCGCTGGGTTCTGCTGGACCCCCAGGGGGGGCGAGCCGATCAGTGATTCTCTCTCATCACAGCTGTTTCTCTCTCTCCCCCCTCTCCCTTCCTCTCTGAAATCAATTTTTAAAAAATGTATTTAAAAAAAGATATACCGGAAATTCCAGACTGTGCAGTTGCACTATTCCAGCCTATTTGCCAGCTGGGAACTGTCTGCGGTGCCCCCATCCCCAGTGGTGTATCCGGGTGCTGAGCAACCTCTCCACATCGTTATCTTGTCTGCAGAGCACGTTCCCGCTTGGCTTTTCGGGGCCACGCTTCGAGGGTGACAGGGGCAAGTAGAGCAGCAGACGGCAGAGTCCGAGACAGGGGCAGT